AAGAAAATGGGTTTAGAGAAAGGAGAGGCTTAAATTCTTCCCCCAACTTTCATTGTAGAGAAAAACTATCCAAAAGCAAGTTAATAAGAGTTACGTACCAAATATTAACAAGATTCAACATAAATCCTTCACAAACAAATGAACCCTAGGTTAGATATCTTCCCCCTTATGCAATAATCACCTATTTAGCATCTAGGTTGGCAACATCACCCTAATCCAAGCCCAAAAACGAACTACTCACACTTCATAAACATAAATAAAAACAAAGCACAAGAAAGTATCATAAACATTGCACAAAAGCTTAAAAAGAAGAGTAAGAAACTTCTCTATTGAAGATGAAGATTTTGTGGTTGAATCCTACTCCAATCCGTGATTACAAGCTTGGAAGATGAGTTTGAGATGTAATACTAGACTAATCTAAGCTAAGGAAATGAAAGGAAGTGAAAATGGAATGAGTTTTTGCTCTCTAGGGTTCTCACTTCTCTAAAAAAAAAACAGAACAAAAGGTATTAAAAAGCTGTCAAATTTCCGCGCAGCGACATGGCCAGGCACACGGTCGTGTCCAATTTTCAGCCAAAATCTGAGGCATTCTGCCTCAGATTGGCACGACCGTGCCAAATTTCTTCAGACATGGCCATGTGCTGACACGGCCATGTACACGGCCATGTCAGTTGTCCTGAATCCATTTTTTAAATGTTGCTCCAATTCTCCATTCTTTCTTGCACTGCTTCCTTGACTCCAAAATAGACTTGAAATGCTCCAAAGTGCTCCATTCTTTACTCATTGTGAATAATTGTACCTAAGAAAATAAATCACACAAATGAGTCTCAATTAACACTTAGTTAAGGGCACTTTATGTACAAAATGGACTTAAAACATGGGGTTAAAAGAAGTCAAGAATGAGTGTTATCAATAATCTTATTTTGCAATATTTTATTTAGCTTTTTATTTTAAAATATTATAAGCACAAGAAACACATTAAAATATGAATGAAAAAAAAAATACTCATGGGACTAAGGATTAAATGAAAAATATAATATAATATAATATAAAGTAAATTATATATATATATATATATATATATATATATATATATATATATATATATAAACATAATAAGTGTTAATGAAAGTTATATCCTTCATTTATGTCCGTTTTTTTGTTAAGTTTTTTATTTTTATTTTTATTTTTATATTATGCTATAAAAGTTGTACTTTAAAATATTTTGGACAAATATACCCCTGTCGTTATAACTTCCGTTATCTTTTCCACTATTGTTACCATGCACATGCATCCACCATATATTTTATTATCTTTTTCATTAATAATAATATATAAACATTATATATTTGAGTTGTATGTTAATTATTATTATTACCTAAAATATAAATATCAAATTTATAAAAGTGTTTTATATTATTATTATTATTATTATTATTATTATTATTATTTAGAATAATTTAAATTTAAATATCTAAAATCTAAATAAATTTAAAATTTTAATATAATGTACTAATATCTGGCACCTATTTTTTGCGCATCGTGCATAAAAATACTAGTATGTATATATATATATATATATATATACTTTGTTTATTTAGAATTTTAAAGAATCACAAATAATTGGGAGTTAGCATGCAATTTGTTGGCATTGGGTAAATATTAGTGATACTTGAATATTATTTTGAATACACTATAATTTAAAACAACCAAATCGGTAACTGGAAAGATTTTGTCAACTGTCCTCCTGAAGCTGAGGAGATCGTCTTTAATGATATCATGCGGGTCACTAGGGCTCGCAATGTGAGGGAAATAGATTAGTTGGTTTTTCTCCCTTTGGGTCCCCCCCACCCCCACCCCCACCCCCACCCTCGGGCTCCTTTCTCTGATCGAAAAAAAAATTTAAATCGGTAACTAATAAAATCACTCAAAGTTTAAAATTGCATTCGGGTTAATGTTTAATTTAAATAACCTAAATAATGCACACCATCGAATTATAGGAAGAACTCATTTAATCGATTATTAATAATAAAAAAAAAAAGATGTAAAATATAATTTTTAGCATTTTTGCATATTAAATATATGGGACAAGTGTCAAATAGACCCATCTACTACTGCGAAGTGCACAATTCCCACCACGAACTAAATTAAGTGCCAAATAGATCCATCTACCAGCTAAATTTGTTCAATTGACTTTTTTTGCAGGTTGTTAAGAGGTTGTCTATTCAATTATCAGGTTGTATATTCATGATTTACATCCTCCCAAATACATTTTAGCCTGTAACCTTTCAGTTTTAACACGTTAACTACATTACTTCCACCATAGCAACTATTACTGCCACCATCGCTAGCTATCGCTGACCAAAAATTGTCGTCCTGTCTACCAGCCACCGTGACCTTTCGGTCGTAGCTGCATTTTTTAGGAAAGCGACGTTTTGCTGCCTTTCAATCAAGAAGAAGGCAACATCTGCTTCCTTCTGTTCTGGAAGGAGGCAAATGTCTGCCTCATTCTGTTTTGGAAGGAGGCAAACGACACCTCCTTCGGTTTTGGAAGGAGACAAACGTCGCCTCCTTCTAGTATGGAACGAGGCAAAGACCGCCTTCTTCCAAACTAGTAGGAGGCGACGACGGCCTCTTTCCAGACTGGAAGGATGCGACATCACATCCTTCCGTTATAGAAGGAGGCTGGAGGCGGTAAAATACATACATACATACATACATACATACATACATACATACACATATATATATATATATATATATATATATATATATATATATATATATATATATATATATATATATATATATATAGCCTCTTTCTAGACTGGAAAGATGCAACATCGCATCCTTCCGTTATGGAAGGAGGTTGGAGGCAGTAACGTTTAGCCTCCTTCCAGATTGGAAGGAGGTTGCAAACGTGCCAGCTAGCCAAAAATAAATAAATTTCAGACTGGAAAGATGTGACATCTCATCTTTCCGTTATGGAAGGAGGATGGAGGCTGTAACGTTCAGCCTCCTTCCAGATTAGAAGGAGGTTGCAAACGTGCAAGCCAGCCAAAAGTAAATAAATTTCAGACTGGAAAGATGCGACATCGCATCCTTCCGTTATGGAAGGAGGTTGGAGGTGGTAACGTTCAGCCTCTTTCTAGATTGGAAGGAAGTTGCTAACGTGCTAGCTGACCAAAAATAAATAAAATAATATATATATATATATATATATATATATATATATATATATATATATATATATATATATATATATATATATATATATATATATACACACACACACACACACACACTGTAACATGTTGGTTACCGATAAATTAGGTCTAAATGTCTAATTATACACTTTTAAAGAGTTCAAGTGTGTAATTGAATATTTTTAATGTATGAGGGCCTAATTGCTTTTTCATCAAAAGTTAAAGGGTTTATTTGACCCTTTTCCCAATCAATAGTTATGCTGTGGAAACGTGTTCACCATGCGCATGATGAACACATGGATAGATCCATAATTTCTATACTGTAGATTTATAATTTTTTTTTAATAAACGTAGATTCATAATTTTGTTTTTCATTTGTTGTTAACGGGATAGATCCATAATTTCTAAGCTGTAAATTCATAATTTCTATAGTGTAGATTCATAACATGTATATTGTAGATTCATAATTTATGTACTGTAGATTCATAATATCTATAACAACAAATGAAAACAAAATTATGAATCTACGTTTTTTTTTTTAAAAAAAAAATTATGAATCTACAGTATAGAAATTATTGATCTGCATCTGTGTTCACCATGCGCATGGTGAACACGTTTCCAGAGCATAATTTGTGTTTCCGAATGATGTATTTACGCTAGACTAAAATACTATATTAATAGTTAGATATATATTTATTTATTTTTAAATTTAGAAAGTTCATTAATCGAGCCAGATCGAACCTCAAATTGTCAAGAATGACAAGAGACGAGTCAAACAACCAAATTTTATGTTTAGACAAAGAACATGCCACCTTAGCTTATATGCTTAACAATATGAATTGTGGGAATTAAATTTATAACATTTTATTTTGAAGTCATAAACTTATATTATTTGATTTTAAAATTTATTTGATCGAGTAGCAAAGATTGGATTTGTAATATAATATTTTTAGTTTTAATTGTGATATAGATTTAGTTCTTTATTGTAGATTTATTATATATATATATATTAGTGGCTATTTTGACAATGATATAAAGATTTCGAGAATTCGTTAAAAGTATAGGTGACTAATTTTCACAATTTCTGTAACAATTTATAGATTAAATGCTTTAGGTTGTTGTATATATTTTAGTTAAACGTTGTAAATATAGTCGATAAATTTATTCCACAGTGGACTTTTTCATCAATGACATAAAGATTGCATAAAAATCACTAGGGACTAATTTTCAATTTGCTTATATCTTCAATGGCATAAGGATTGCGTTAAAAACACGATGCTAGATTAAATGCATTAGGTTGCGGTATAGATTTTAGTTATTCGTTGTAGATTTATTATATAAATTTATTACACAATGGGCTATTTCGTCAATGAATAAGGGTTATGTTAAAAGCACTAGGGACTAATTCGTCATTGACATAAGGGTTGCGTCAAAAGCACGCGGGATGTATTTATTACACAGCGAACTATTTCGTCAATGACATAAGAATTGCGTTAAAATTACAAAGGACATATTTATTACACAGTAAACTATTTCACTAATAATATAAGGGTTGCGTTAAAAGCACTAGGGACTAATCCGCTATTTTTCTTATTTTGTCAATGACATAAGGATTGTATAAATAAAATTTGTTATACCTTACCATTGTGATATTTAAAAAGAAAAAAGAGAAGGGTAATGGAAGACAAAAAAAATGGCTTTATTAATATAAAACTACAAGAAAACCTAAAATCAGGAAAAGGATAAAATAGTAGCAATAATAAATATAGCCCTCGTAGCAAAAGAATTGAACAACAAGACCATATATGATATACCCCTCTCCCTCTCCTTTCTCCTCTCACTCTGTGCCACTCTCTTCTTCTTTGTTTAATAGCAGTACTAGTAGCAGCTACTACACAATCTCTCTCTCTCTCTCTTTCTCTCTTTCTCTCTCTCCATCTCTGAAATAGAGGAAATGTTAAAGTCCACTCTCCACCGCTTCTGAATCCACTCTTTTTCTCTCTTTCTTTCGTGTCTGAAAGACTGAAACTTTTGGCTCTCTGGGTTGCTGTTGCTGTTGCTGTTGTCTCTCTCAAGATTCAGGTGAGAAAGAGATAGAGAGAGAGAGAGAGAGAGTCACATTTTGGGTGGTTTGGGGAAACCCCACCGGAGAAAACAACAGATATACAAGCAAAGAAGCTCTTTTTTTTTCTGGGGTTCTAAGCGCTAATTTGCAGCTCAGATCTACAGCCTCTCAATCCCCATTCCCTCATTTCTTGTCTGTTTCCTCCTGGGTTGCTGTCCTGAGGCTTAAAAATGAGTAAAGAAGAGTTCCTGAAGATCCAGGTACTCCCCATTTCCTCTTTCCCTGTGCTTTTCCATGTCGGTGGTGGCTGGGCCGCCTTGCGCCGCCGCCACCGCCGCCGAATGTATACCATTCTTTGTTGTCTGAATGTTTATCAGTGTGCCCATGAGCTAAAAATCTGTTCTTGAAAATACCCTTTGCTGATTTTTCCCCCATTTTGTTCAATTTCTTGTTTCTCGGTTATAATATTGTGGGGCTTTGTATTGTAATGTGTTGAAGGCTAAAGGTTTTGGCTTTGTTGGGTTTGCTTGTGCATGCAGACTTGTGTCCTAAAAGTCAATATACACTGTGATGGCTGCAAGCATAAAGTGAAGAAGATCTTACAGAAGATTGAAGGTAAAAAAAAAAAAAATTAAAACTTCTATTTCAAGATTTGATTTTTGGTTCACATCTCTTTAATTTTGCCCTTGGATTACATACCCAAAATAGTAACACCAACCCAAAAGTCTAATTCCATATTCTTTTTCACATATTCAAGGCAGCTAAGTCCTGTGAAAATGGGGTGTTTTGTGTTTGTTGTTTCAGGGGTTTACAAGATCGGAATTGATTCGGAGTCCGGCAAGGTCACCGTCTCCGGCAACGTGGACCCGGCGACTCTGATCAAGAAGCTTACCAAGCATGGAAAGCATGCTGAATTGTGGGGTGCCCCTAAGGGGGGTAATAACGCTCAGAATCAGTTGAACAATCAGATGAAGAATATGCAGATTGAGGGGGGTGGTGGTAAAGGTGGGAATAACGGCAAGGGGCAAGGGCAGAAGGGTAATTGCACTCCGGGGCAGGGGCAGGGGCAGGGGGGCAAAAGTGGAAATCCGGTAATGCCGACCCCGCAGCAGCTTCAGCAGCTGCAACATCTGCAACAGTTGAAGGCTCTGCAGGATATGAAACTGCCGCCGCAGTTTAAGGATTTGAAGATTCCGATGAACGGAATGCCCGGGTTTGTCGGGAAGGCGGCGCCGAATGCCAAGGCGGGGGTTCCGGGGAAGCAGAGCTTGCCGCCGGAGGAGGATGATTTGAGTGACGATGAGTTTGACGATGACGATTTGGATGATGAGTATGACGACGATGATTTTGATGAATTTGATGAGATGCCGCCGCCGCTGCAGCTTCCGCAGAATAAGATGAAGCCGATTATGGGCGGTGGCGGAGGTGGTGGTGGTCAGATGATGCCTAATATGATGCATGTTGGGAATGGAGGCGGCGGCGCTGGTGGTGGTGGTGGAGGGAATGGTAAGAAGCCCGGAGGTGGCGGTGGCGGAAATGTTCCTGTTCAGATGAACGGCGGAGGGGGTGGTGGCGGGAATAATAACGGTGGTAAGAAAGGTGGCGGCGGTGGTGGTGGTGGTAATGGGAACGGTGGATCTGCACAAAAGGGTGGCAAGAATGGTGGGGGTAACCCCGGTAAGCCACAAGATGGGAAGAACAATGGCGGTGGCGGTGGTCAGAATAAGGGAGCGGGTGGTGGCGGCGTTGGTGGCGGCGGTGGTGGTGGTAATCATAATGGTAATGGGAAGAAAGGTGGTGGGATGAATGATGGGCTACCAGGCATGCCAAAAATGATGCCAATGAATGCCGGAGGAGCTGGTGTGGGCCCAATGGGGAGTATGCCCATGGGTCAAATGGGCCATCAGATGGGCCCAATGGGTAGTCTCCCAATTGGCCAGATGGGCCAGCTACCGGCAGTCCAAGGCCTGCCTGCCGCCGCCATGGGCGGTGGCGGTGGTGGTGGCTACTTCCACCAAGGGGGTGCCACCGGCCCCGATCACCCAGCCGGAAACCCCTACCACCAGCAACAACTCGCCGCCATGATGATGAACCAACAACGGGCCAATGGCAACGAGAGGTTCCAGCCGATGATGTACGCCCGCCCCCCACCCGCCGTCAACTACATGCCGCCTTACCCTTACTACCCTTACCCTCCTCCCCCTCCAAGTGACAACTACAGCACCTTCTTTAGTGATGAGAACACCTCAAGTTGCAGTGTGATGTGAAGAATCCGGCGCCCCCGGGGGCCGGGAGCCAGAATTTGCCCTAGTCCCGGTGGTCGATGTGTCGGTGCCGGTGGTATTGGAGTGGTTGGTTAGTGTTATAAACAGTCCAATGACTAGCTAGCTAGTTCTCTTAATGCCCATTATATACAAGAAAATGAATTTTCCCCTTTAATTATATTTGCTGTTTATTATTAAGGCTTAGTTTTCACCCCATTTTTCTTCTTTGTTTACCCTAAAATTTCCCTTTTCCCTTTGTAATCCTAAGCTTTAGATTAGGGGTTTTATGATAGGGAAGAAGTCTCCATTTGTAAGTGGGATATTTGAGTTATGTGTCTCTAAAGGTCAATGGAGATGTTTGTATATGCTTTTATAAACTCAACAAATGCCAAAAAGTTGACATCAAAAACAGAATGGGATTTAATTTCATATTAAAAGACAACCAACAAAAATATGCCCCCCCAAATATGTTTATGTTATAAGTTTTTAAATACTATGGAGGAAAATCACAATAAAAAAAAAAAGAAAAGGAATTTGATGATAATAATATATTTGAAAGGGTGGTAAAAGTTTTGAAAGAAAATTGCAATTATTATATTGTCCTTTTAGTAATTAAGTGTGATCCCAAATAATGGAGGAGAGCCTATTGTGGTAGGGTAACCAATCTACTATCTTTTTGCATTATATATATATATATATATATATATATATATATATATATATATATATATATATATATATATATATATATATAGTCTCTATATGAACATGATTAGACTCACCACTGATGAATTATTACTCCCACACCTCCCTTCATAGCATATAAAAGAGGAAGTTTATTACCCCACCTATATCTATTTTTTCTACTAAGCTTATAACTAGGGCATCCCCCCTACAATGTCATATCATATGATTATAGAAATTAAAAGACAGAATAAATAATTAAAATTAGATGTGTTAATTCTTTTGCACCAAGTGAATCCACTATGTGACTTGTGACATTTACCTTATACTTTGTGAAATTATACTCGTCATCATTATATCTTTTAAGTCACATTTGTTTCGTTCTTATGTTGGTTCAGTTTTATTTTCTTGTTGCCAGTTTATTAGTTTGTTTTCGTCTTATCATGTTCATTTTATCAGCAGAGATGCTAATTGGGTGGCTGATGCTTTAACTAAAAATGTAAGAGCAGTGACTGCTCGGTCTGTCTGGAGAGATGTTCCTCCTCCACTTCTGGACGTTTGTTATGCTTTAATATAATCCACATTCTTTGGCCTTCAAAAGAAAATAAAAAATACTTGTCATCATAATTTAATTCGGAATTTTGATAGTATTATTATTATTCATGTTCGTAGATCAATGAATCAAATAGCTCTTGTTCCTGTAATCAGAATGTGTTGGGTGTGTTGGTGCCCTCTGGTGGAAGGATGGATGAAAATCAACACGAATGGTGCCTGTAAGAAAAACGCGGGGCTAGCCAGCGCGGGGGGTTGGATCGGAATCATATGGGGGAGTGGCTTTTTTGTTTTACCACTAAGATTAAGGTTTCTAATAGCTTTGTCGCTGAGCTGTGGGGCGTAAGGAAGGGTCTACGGCTGGCAAAGGACAAGGGTTTAAAAAAGGTGATCTTTGAACTTGATTCTGAATCAACTTTGGGCGTTATGAGAGGAGAAGAAGACGTGGACAAGTGTAAATCGATTCTCCTCAAGGACGGTAGGTTCCTTTCCTTTTGTTTAGAAGAAATCGTTTTCCAACATATCCTGCGAGAGGGGAACAAGTGCGCGGATCATCTGGTCAACATTGAGCAAATCGACTAATATAATTAAAGACCGAGGGACTACTTTGTTAGATTTGCCATCTGCTAGTTTAGACTCTTTACTCGCGACTAACGCCTTTGGCTAGTGCCATTAGAGTTTAGTAACAGGCCTTTTCCTGTTGCCTGGTCTTGTTTCACCACCAAAAAAAAAAAAAAAAAAAGAAGTAACGTTGAGTTCAGTCAATTGGTCCAAACTTTCCCCTTTTAAACTTAATTTAATTGGTCTGAATTTATTAATGTATTATGACCTAATTTATTCAATGACACGACTAGTATCCGACTTCTTTATCCATTCTCAAGTCTAACATCACATGTGTTTGACATAAATACTGTATCAAGAAACGTGACAGTTGAAAGAGGCACCCTATAATTAACCACTTGTATAGTAGTTGCATACATATAATTGAAAGGGGCTGTGTAAGGTACCATTGCCCATGCTGTTTGTCTATATTTAGCTATAGATATACGATCAGTAATAAATGTATCGTATATATTATGATAGGGGTGCCCTACTAGAGGACACTCCTTTATAACTTCACTCTCTCAAAATATATATATATATATATATATATATATATATATATATATATATATATATATATATATATATATGTGAAAAATTTTAACGTCCCGATTAACACTCATAATCTTTTTACGCGATATCATCACCACAAAGTTAATGATGAAGTTTACATAAGTATACAATATCGTATTGAGTCTCGAAATTAGATCGACTCAATTTAACTCCTCATGAGCCTAGAACCAGTTTATGAGTTCAGGATATAGTCTGGTGAAGTCGAGAAACTTAGCTTATCAAACAAGAAAAAAAAATGTATGATAAAGACTTTGAATTTTGTACTAAATACAAAATTAATATTGTCTCACACTTTTTAACGAGTTTGTATAAGAGGTAAGATGTCAGCATTTCCCCCCTCTATATATATATATATATATATATATATATATATATATATATATATATATAAAGGTCAGGTTCTTGTGCAAATAGGGTTTTCCATGTGGTCGTGCGGTAACTCACCATTAAGTACGCATAAATGCATCACAAAGTGTTAAAAATGTACAATTAGGTGTGGTGTAATTTTTGATATGTGATGCATTTATGCATTTCATAATAATATATTTTCAAATATTGTATAGTGCATTTATACATACCTAATCGTGCAATTTAAACCGTCCGGACAGACCTGTCCACATTTGATCCTTGTATATTCGAATTGTAAGACTTATATATATAAGACATACGATGCTTGTAAGTTTTACTTCAATTGATTATTCGAATAATTTGTGTACTGGAGAGGTAGACATAATGATGACTCTCATGCAACATTTTTTTAAAAATTTACTTTTTTTTTTCTGTATTAAATATATATATATATATATATATATATATATATATATATATATATATTTTTTTTTGGGGTATGTATGAAAAGAATAAAGCCTATTACCTTGAGGGTAGAGCCTAAGCATATGTGAATTTGGTTTTACATTTCGATTTGCTTATTTTAAATGTTCATCCTTAGAATTACAAATTTATATTATGGGCGACATTCAAGATAAAAATTGATTATATGATATATCTAGAAATATATGTGATTTATGTGTTTTTTTTTTTTTTTTTTTTTAAACTAGTGAAACTCATCAATGCTATTTTTAAAAAGAAAAATTTTATTAAAATGAAAACAATATTTATAAACGATGGTACAATATGTCTTTTTTCTTTTAGGTGATTAGAGAAATTCACAATTCACAACTGTTATTCAATAATGTGCATTCCGCAATGATTAATAATTATGCATATCTAAAAAAATTGGAAATATAATGTTATATTTCTTACCATTACACATTTATCTCATATTTCATGCCTTACGTTTTTAAATTGAAATTTTTTACAATAGTGTGTGTTTGATAAAGTTGTAAAATGTGCTTTGAAAAAAGTACACAATATAGAATCCAACTTATAAAACAAGCGCGCACACACACACACACACACACACACACACACACACACACACACACACACACACACACACACATATATATATATATATATATATATATATATATATATATATATACGGTTCAAATGAGAACCATTCCCTATGTGAGAATATTTGGACAAATTTAAACTATCAATCTGCAAGATCTGATGGATAGGAAATCAAGTAAAAACAGAATAGGATCATAAGGTTTTTAGTTCGACTCTCAGTAGGAGCGAGTCATAAGGTGGAATTTACACAGTAGCTTTTATTTAGTACTATTTATGTTTACATTCATACTTTCTTACCAAGTTTATCTTCAATATTTTTCATTTTGCTAGTTTTACCCTTACTATGTAAAATGAAAAAAAAAAACATATATACATATGTGTATATATAGTTTAATTTTGTAATACTTTTTAATTAATGAATAGTGTGTATCTATTTTGATATGATTTTAGCGAGTCATAAGGTGAAATTTACACAGTAAGTTTCTTGGTTGGCCTAAATGCTTTTATTTAGTACTATTTATGTTTACATTCATACTTTCTTACCAAGTTTATCTTCAATATTTTTCATTTTGCTAGTTTTACCCTTACTATGTAAAATGAAAAAAAAAAAAAAACATATATACATATGTGTATATATAGTTTAATTTTGTAATACTTTTTAATTAATGAATAGTGTGTATCTATTTTGATATGATTTTTGTATTTAAAAATTTGAACTATTGTTTAACAATAAAAATTCACTTTTTTGTTTTGTTTTGTTTTGTTTTGTTTGTTTTGTTTTTTTTTTTGTTTTTTTTTTTGTTTTTTGTTTTTTGTTTTTGTTTTTGTTTTTGTTTTGTTTTGTTTTGTTTTTTTTTTTTTTTTTTTTTTGTAAACCTCTAAACGAGTTATGATTTTTATTTCATATGTTATTTGATGTGGAATATATCGATTATTGGCTTATTCACTATTAGAAATTATGAAATTTCCGACCACCTGAAAATGATTTTAAATCAAGTAAAAAGTCTTGTTCCGACCACTTTTGGTATCCGGAAAAACCTTTGTTGCTATTTCCGACCACTTATTGGTATCAACTTGATTTAAGATCACTTTCAGGTGGTCGGAAATTCCATAATTTCTAGTAGTGATTGTCAATAAAATATTTTCATTTCATTTATTATGGTGTAGATGTTAAAATCTAATTATAATAAAAAATTATTAAGAAACAACTAATTACATTTGCTAAAAGCTAAATATAATTTTTTTTGGGGGGGGGGGGTGGGGGTGGGGGGTGGGGGGGGGGGTTTGCGGATAATACCTACTAAATTCAATGCATTTTTTTTTTTAATTTATGCTAGATAACAATATTTTCTTATCATGAAAAATAATATTTCATCTTCGAATATTTATATAATTTATTTATTTCTTTGTTTATTTTTATGATTTAATTTTACTAATTGATAAATATATATTATTTAGTTTAGATTTATATTAATTTATTTTAATAAGTTGAATTTTACATTTAGTTTTATTAAAAATTAATGTTTTCTATATATGTGGTCATAGTATAAGAAAAAAACTTATAATTGAAGAGTAAAAATTGAATAATGCTATTAATGTTGGCAAATAAATAATAATAATAATAATAATAATAATAATAATAATAATAATAATAATAATAATAATAATAATAATAATAATAATAATAATAATAATAATAATAATAATCTCATGGAGGAAAATTTGCAGGGAGTATTGAGGGTTGTTAGGGTCAAAAACACTATAAATATGCACCAATTTACAACATGGAGGTGTAGGGCTCTTCTCCTCCGTTCACGGCGGAGGCAATGGTAGAGCGAGGGGAACCAAGAAAATTGGTTTAATCTTCTCAATCGATATAACTAGGGAATAAATTTGAACAATTGTTCATCTTTTTTTTTTTTTTTTAATTTTTTTATCTGCTTTACCACTTGTTAATCAATCATTATTTAAATATTTTGGTTTTAATTGTTTTTTATTTCGAAATGTTATTTTCAATGGAAAATATGATGCGAAATCTATGATATATATGAATATAATGATGTTACCATAATAATTAATTATCTGAATACATATCATGTCATTTGATTCCATGGTCTAAAATTTGAAAGTGTGAGTGATCTGAAAATAGTTAAAACGAACCTACTATAACAATATTCTAGCATAATTTTTGCAACACAAAACCCTCTTAATTGGCGTGATCCATGCTTCCTCTGTTACCATTTTTGTCAGAAATGAATTCATAATTTAATCTAGTACATGGTGTGCTTCACTGCAATTTTAGTGTCAATTGGCGCATTGCACCTTTAAAACCATAACCAAATCCTCCTTACACAAAAAGACAATGATAATAGACATAGTTTTCTCATCTGTGTTGAATATATATTGTAAATCAGGTGTACGTACCGTTTCATCGATACCCAATGGGTGATTCTAATTAATTGACCAAAGTTCATATTAAATTTTATATTATATTTTTTTTAATACACTCTAACATATTCATAGTATATGTTTAACAATTATGTCAATTTTGGTCGAGATGTGTTCGAATCTAAAACATTCCTTATGAAAATCGATGGGTACGTTAAAATAATAAATAGTTAACAAAATATTCCGTTACTAAAATTTACACTAACAAAATGTAACGATATTTTAACAAATAAATGATATAATAAAAAATAATGTAAACAAATAATAATAAACATACTAAAATTAAAATAATATTAACCATTCATTTTAATTGCAGACGGTCATGCACCACAAAGCAGGAAGGGAGGAATTCCTTTGGGTAAATGGTCACGTCACATCGCTACAAAGCGCATCTTGTACTACTGCATATCAAACACCAGCATAAAAACATTTCTTTTATTTTTATTTTTTCCTATTTGTCACCACAATTTGACTCTTTCTTTTCGAGGAAACAATAAATTTTACAATGCTCTAAATTATAAATGTTATATGTTTTACAAAGTTACTATATTTTATTGTGCTCTCTATTTATATATAATTTACAAAGCACAATATATAATTTTACAAAATTCACAACACAATAAAATTTTCCTAAATTTCTAGAATGTATACAATTTCAACTCTTTTTTTCATATAGATTTTAAGAATGTAATTTTAAAAAAAAATAAAAAATTGTATGTAATACTTGAAAAGAAAAATTAAAGGTTTTAAATGGTATTTGAAAGTGCCATTATATGTATGTGCATCCGAACATATAAAGGGAAAAAATAAACATTCTCGTATTGAAACATGATTCTTGTACTTAGATGTCACGAGTTTGATTATTACCAATATTTTTTTTTTGTCAAATTCGTCACACATGGTACTCTAGTGCAGTTACCTCTCCTATATAGTTTAAAACTCTCGGATAATGATTGTAATTTTGTCATTATTTCTCGTGATATTTTTATACTAAAATCATGTTCCAGCTACTCGTATATCTCTTTCGGGGCATAAATTTTCTTTACTATTATATATGCTTATGTATACTTTATATATATATATATATATATATATATATATATATATATATATATATATATAGAAGAGCGCTCATATGCGGCGGGGTCTTACGGTGCGGCGGTGCGGTCAAATTCCAGAATACACCAACAGTGTTAACAATATGCACCAACAGTGTAATAAAAACACACCCCAATGAAATGTAATAAAACATCACAAAATACACCACAGACTCAAAAAAACACATCATATAACTCACCACCCCCAATGGTGTATTTCCGAACATTGTATGGTGTTTTTACTCACACCTAATGGTGTGTGTTTGGTGATGCAGGGCTCTGTTTACTCTGTTTTGTGTGGTGTATTTCTTAACGTTGATAGTGCATATTTGGTGAACTATTGGTGTTGCCGCACCGTAAGAAATAACCGCACCGTAAGACACTGCCGCACCTGAACCCGCCTATATATATATATATATATATATATATATATATATATATATATATATATATATATATATATTATTTTTGAATGGTTAGACTTTAGAGATGTTTAAATAAAATTTATCAATGTATTATGACAAAATGATGGGACCCAGCGTAATCTGTTTTATTAAGAAGGTGAGTTGTACTTTTGGCTAAAAGTACAACTCTGTTTGCAGTGATTTGTTTCTAGTGTAATTTAAGCATACGACTTTAGTTTGTATGAGTTGCATGTGACCTCTATCATCACTTCATTTTCTCCTTATCTATTTTCCTATTTTTTTTTCTTTCTAATAGTTATCCTTTTTACATTAAATTATTAGTATAAACGTAAAATATGTGGGAAGGACTATAGGATAATTCGTAATGATTTAATATTGACAAATTACAGTCATATCAAATAGTTCCGGACCTCTATTATTTATAAATGCATCTTTAATAGGGGAATTTTCATTGATTTTTGCAGGTTAGTGCTTATGTGGAGGAAAGAGAAGAAAATGAGTTGTTGTAGTAGAATAAGGTTTTTGGAAGAAAAGTGGGCCATACTAAAAAAAAACGTTAATTCTTCTGGTGCACGTGAAGCTCACCAGAAGCATCCAGTCGGGCGCGTGCACTCCACGTGCTCGCTGGGCACGTTAACGCAAGTTTAGTTTTTTTTTTTTTTTTTTTTTTTTTTTCTTCTTGAAATATATTTTTCTTGTTTTTTTTCCTCCATCATTCTCTCATACTTGTCATCTTAAAATTTGTGCAAAAATTAAGTTATTGAAGATGCTCGTGATAATAGATTAACGTATGAAAAATGATAGAGTACAGTAGTCTTAGGCCATTCTCATCTGATATGACATTTTTTAAGAAATAAGTGAGAAAATAAGTGATATGATAGAGTACAGTAGTCTTATTTTTTAAGAAAATAAGTGTAATATTTTTAGGTCAATTTTGTCTGATATGATATCTTTTAAGAAATAAGCAAACACATAGTAACTTATGAAAAATGGCATAGTACAGTACTCTTGGGTCAATCTCATATAGTCATATGATATGACATTTTTTTAAAGAAATACGTGAGAACAAATTTATGTATGAGAAATAATAGAGTATAATTCTCTCGAAAAAAATCTCGTCTCATACGTCATGTTATAATTAATTAATTTCAAATTTAAAAAGTTTATTTATAATTCATCGAATACATGTTATAAGATGCCTTTCCCGTTAAAAAAAAATGAACAATTGTTAAAAAATAAAAATTAGAGGGCACACTTTAATTAATGTGCTTGATTTAATATTCTTGGGATGATTTGTTTTTTAAATAAAAAATAAAATAAACTAAATTTCCAGTGATGATGCAATTTCTGACTTTCTGTACCTCAGTATATATTTTAGACAGTTTTTGATATGAGTTGATGATTCTCATCACGAATAACCTTGTACTTCACACTTTAATTTACTTTTTCTTTTTAAATTAAAAAGTTATTACAGTTTTAAAAGAGCAAGTTTCCTTAAAAAGATTTGTGTATAACCTTACCCTATATTGTAGCTTACCGTGCAGATTAAAATTTTACTCTTTATATTCATTATAACTATATATGAATTCACAAATTTTATCAAGAATTGATTAAAGAAAATGAATTTTCTTCCCCCGAAAACAAAATTACTTTGGTGCTATATGCTGTAGCTTATGATGATATATAAAACAAATTAGAATGATGATATTCAACACTTCAGAATTTTTCTTATAAAATTGGCTGGACAGTTGGCTTGATTACTACAAGGTTTTCAAGTTCGACTCTTTATCAAGATTGTGTATAAGCCTTCTTAGTTTGAGTCGCTCAGTTATGGACAATCTACGGCTGATTTATCTCATTGTGGTTCTCCTCCTTGCAGTAGAGATGATCACCATTCAATTCAAACTGAATCGAACACTGTAGCAACTGAACCGAAATCGAAACTCAAAATGTTCTGACTATGGTTTAAAAACTGGGACTCTAAAGGTTCTGATTTTGGTTTATTAAAATTGAGAATGCTCGTTCCGGTTCCGAATTGGAAAAAAAAAGTTCAAATCGGAACCACTGTTTCAATTTATTATTTCTTTTGAAATCGTGAATCGGCGGTTCAAAATTGAAATTGAACTGCAATCATATTTACCTTGTAATTCTTTGCCAGTTAGACGGTTAAGGTCACAATATAACGTCATTTAGAGCGCATATTTAAATAGCAGATGTACTCAATTTTATAGATAGTGTGTAAGAAGGAGATGATGTGTTACAAACTTTTTGAAGGTTTTATTAGCAAGTTGACTTGTGACAAGAGAGAGACACATTGTGGTTGGATTCAATTGGAAATCACTTTTGAAAAAACAAAAGACATGCATTGACATGTATGTTGATTGGAACAACAGATGAGACATGAGTCCCAATACTAAAAGGACATATTATGTGTATGTCGTCCTAGTACTCAGCTTGTAGCTAGAGCCACTTGTCCCAAATTGTAGGGGGAGTGCAGTGCAGTAAAATCATGAAGTCCCCATCACTTCATCATACTTAATTTGTAAGGTTAACTTAGAAAAAAAAAAAAAAAAAAGGCTTTTGAGTTTTGACAAATTAAAGAAAAACCCTTCAAAAAGTTCAATCTTCAACTTCTAAACTTGCCTACTTCTAAGTTTTACCCAAAAATCTTCACTTTTTCTTTGTTGTGTTAGGCTTGTAGAGAAGGGATTTTGTCAAGATTGTTTGTTGTGCGCGCTTACAGAAAAGAGCATTGAAGATTTGGAGTAATTGATTGTGAAATTCTAAAAAGAATGAGTAGTTCGGTTAAATTAGACATTATTGAATTATATCATTGTGAGAAAATTCAAGATTCTTAACGGGTGAAAAATAGTCAAAAGTTTAGGTCTTTTTTTTTTTTTTTCTTCTTTTTTTTTTTTTTTTTTTTTTTGTAAACTTGAAATGCTTTGATTTATAAGTTATTTAGATAATAATTTATTTTGATGACGTGGGAAACAACAGTTATTTTCTGAAAGTACGTATTACGTAAATTTCATTTTTGTGTAATAGTCTACAAATCACACACGAGAGGTAAACCGCACTAAAAAGATTATGTGTAATAAACTTGACCGTGAAGGCATTGTTACCAACAATAAAATTTATGATTTTCTAGTACGAGAATAATATTTAATTCTGTTGACAATTAGATACTAGATTTGACATTAATTTGGTGCATGTCTTCATCAGTTGTTTACTTGCTCCAAAAAAAGGTTGGCAGCTTGGCATGCATAGGAATATGGTTATAACCAAACTCCATAAATGTGGAAAATAATTCATGATAGATAGATATTTATAGTGTGGACGAAAAGAATTCGATTTCTTTTAAATAAAATTTTTAATTTAACATTTTGAATAAAATAATAATATTGAGATCAAGTTAAAGACTTTGAGTAATTTAACTCTGATCTCAATATTTTATTTTAACAATTATTACTCAAATTATCAAGTATACTTTTAAATAATAATATGAATTCTAGAACTATGAATTTTGTGAAAATTATATATATATTGAAAAAATATTTCAATATAATTATATTTTAAACATTAAGTATTAATATTAATGATTTATTTTTGTGTAACACACAAAGAAAAGATTACTTTAAATATAAAAGTTAATAAATATATCGTGACGCGATCTATTACGTATATCGAATTTTTTTCCAACTCTCAAACCAGTTGTGTCAAAAACTAACCATTTAATTTGTTAAAGACTTATTTTTTTGTGTTAACTCATTTGTTATCCAAACCCATTTTAAGATAAATCCAAGCTTTTATAACTTTGTATGTTGTCGCGTTGTATGACTTGCAACATTTAAGTATCTCATGTCCACAATTATCACACTTATTTTGGGTACAAAAATCCAAAAAAATTGATCTGGCAGAGATATTGCTTCTGAGTAAGCCTTAACCAAATTAGGTTAAAAGAGAATATTGATTGGACTTGAGGCAGGGAGGGATTGTTAATTTGTTATTGAGATGTAAAGAGGGAAGAGTTTTGTGCTAAATTTTTTTAATAAGAGTTAAATTTTGTGATTGTGATTCATATTGAATTTGGATTAATTTCATAGTAGTAGGAATACTAAACATTATAGAAGTTTTTATGTCACATTTGTATCACTCACTCATCACCTAAAAAAAAAAAAAAAAAAAAATCACTCAACTCAACCCGCACTTTGAACTCTTTTTAGCTCTTATATAGGACCTTGTCAACTTTTTCCTAGGTCGCTCCTCCACGTCTCTTGATGAAACCACCAATATTATGCCTTTTATAATGAACTTAGGAAAATATGATGATATAACATTTTTCAAATGTGTGAACCCTTTACATTTATTTTTTGAGTAAACAAGATCTCGTTTACATACTCGAGATAAAATATAATATATATTCCATACAATTGTTTTATTAAGACTGAGTACTTCAAAAATCGGATATGCAAGGCAATAATTTTTGCGCCGGGAAAGCTACTGACCCAAACGAACATGGCCAGCTAGCTGAG